TGTGGACTTTTGTTTCATACATGTACGAAGTAAAAGCTCCACTATAGTAGAGTCCATGGTCAAATTCATTTGGTAGCATAATTTACCAATTGAGTTTTATAGCACTTTCAAAATGCCATCTAGAAGGATGAATTTTTGGTGCTCTATAGGCCACAAATGGGACCCCTCCTGAAACTACAGAACAAAGAGTCGGAGAAGTGAGCTAAAGTGGCTTTTGAAATATCTTATCACGCTCAACTTTTTGTGCCAAGTTTCAGCCAAATCGGGTGACTACCACTTCTGGCTCCTGGAACACTTTCTCAGACAGGGACACTCAAGCCATATTAAAAGGACATTTTTTTTCTATTTTGATTCATTTCTTTTAAATATACCAATGACTAAGGAATAATAATCTCCTGATACATTTTCATTACATAATGATTTATTACTGACGTTGGAATAAGATTTGAAAAGAGCTTTCATGTTTATTTTAAGTTTCAATTTGCCAGCAATAGTTCGTTTCTCTGTTGAAGGGTTCCTGATCATATACAGTTAATTCTGACCTACAGATACCCCGCTAGTACTCTCTGAAGCTAAATTACGACTAAAACTACAAATAAATCCATAAAAATTATTCCCACTATAACATTATGAAAAATACTCCATGTGGTCTCTTTTAGCATTTCCATGCGTGTGCTGATGTTACGGGAAGTAAAACTTAGAAAAAAGATAGGCTTACTTATTGTGTGGTTTATTTGTTCGTTTGTTTTTTTGTTAGTTAGTTTATTTGTTTGTTTGTTTGTTTTGGAAATTTTATTTAGGGTTAAGCGGAAAGGGTTGACGTGGTCAATGTTGAATCTGTTTGTCCTTTTATTTCAAGTTTCTCCCCAGATCACTAAGCCTCCGATAACCCAGTCTGTTACCGAAGGGCATCCAGTCAACTTCAGTTGCCGAGCCTCAGGTGTGCCAACACCAACCCTAGTCTGGGTTTTTAATAATGGTGACCTCCCATCTGACATCAGTCAAACTGATCACGAGGGAGAATCGTTGCTAGAATTGCCAAGTGTCACAAAAGAGATGAAAGGCACTTACAAGTGTAAAGCAAAAAACAAAGCAAATACTACTAATTCCTCTGCAACACTACGTGTTTATGGTAAGTTTAATGATAATGATAATGATGACTATGACTTTGATGATAACGATGACAAAAACAAAGACGACGACAATGGAGAAGGGGACGGATATGAAGATAAAGTCGTAGTGATTTGTGATGCGAGAACAGACGAAGAAAAAAATAAAAGTGACGGCGCCATCATGCGGGTTAACTGATACGATTTAATGTAATTGCTGCGGTGATTCTATAGATGTACGTGGTTTTTGAGAAATCGATCAGGTTAATTTTTTGAACAATCAGATCCTTGGCTGGGAAACATCGCGTTTACAAATTTGTAATAAGTCTGGAATGATGTGACCTGTCTGCTGATTATATAACTTTCAACAAGACTGGCAGATATTCAGGCGCAAACGACTTTTGGTGAGCATAAGCATATTAAATCGCCAGCTTTTAAAAATGTGGGTTGACGTGTGAATGCGGGTAGATATCAACCCTGACAAGT